CCTCTTCTGCTTCTTCTCAGGGACTTTCTCTGTCCCCTTCTGAGGAGCCGTCTTCGTGGGGACGACCGGCGGCGGAAGGGCGGCTTCGAGAGCAGGGGCCCCGGAACCCTGGGCCAGCATAGTGGCGATTAAGTGTTGCTCACCCTCGGCGGTTCGCCTGGCAGCATCAGATGCCGAGGAGTGGGACTCCGAGGCAGGGGCGTTCTTGGCTTTCGCCATCGCAGCTTTAGCCGCGGCCGCCTTGGCTTTCCTGGTCTTCAGACACTCGGCGTGATTCATTTGGTCTCTATCGGGCGGTGGACCTGCAAGAAACAACAAGGATTAGAAGCCGGGCGGGAAGTAAAATAAGACACTCACCTCGAAGGACAGGACCGCCCGGGCCCCGAGACGAGCGTCGAAGGGTAGAAAAAGTCCAGGAACACGGGCGGTACCTATGCCTGCCCCAGAGAGTGCCTCGAAGGTCAGAAATCCGGCTATGGGACGGACGCCACCCTCCGACACCTTCTCCGCATCCAAACGCAGATCATCGGTCGGCTCCGGTGACTCAATCTTTGGGGGATACCCATTCCACCGGAGAGGGAGGGGGGGGGCCCGTCGTATCGGAGGAAGAAGAAGCGGTTCTTCCAGTCGTGGATGGACGAGGGGTAGTTCTTGAACAGCCGCCTCCCAGGACGTGCGGCCACGCTCAGATACCCGTCGGCATTCTGAGGAGTGACGCGGTAGAAATAATGGAAGAGCTCCAAAGTGGCATCGACCCCCGCGAGTTTACAGCGCACCAAGAAGGCCGATATGAATCTGTAAGAATTTGGCATGAATTGCGCCGGGGCCACCTGGAAGCAGTGGAAGAACTCCACATAAAACGTATGAAGTGGAAACCGCAGCCCGGCTTCAACGGAGTCCAGGTGGAGCATGATCATCCCCGGACGTCTCCTCATCACATGCTCAGCGCCTTTCACGCTCCAGACGAACGGCGGGGGAAGGAAGGTGCGGATTTTATTGAGGGCCACACGGGAGAGGACTTGGTCGTGGTCAAGGGCGCTCCTAATCGGGCAGATGTGACGCTCCATATCCGTGGGGATACCCAGATCATACACCTCCATATCAGAACCGGATTCGGCTTCCTCTCCGGAATCATAATCAGCAGGACGCTCATTCAGGGGGACCGCATCAATAACGTCCACTGCCTCATCGGCATCCCTACCCCTGGCGTCGCTCCTACTATCTTGGGACACATCATCCGGCTCATCATCAGCCCGGATGGTCCCCACCGTCGTGGCCGAACCAGAGGTTCCGGAAACACTAGTTTTTCCCAGGGAGCGTGCACTAGCATTTTCAGAAGAGGAGCCCGAGGAGGAACCCGACGAACCGGAATCAGAACTTGAGGAAATCTCCATCGAAGTCATTCCGGCTAGAAATCAGAATAAAGGGAAGAAGCAGAGGGGGGAAATTACCTTACAAAGGTATGGTTGGCCGAATTCAGGAAACTCGAAGAGCTGCGGAAAATCGAGAGCAAGAGAGCAGAAATTGGGAACCCTAATTCAGAGGGCAAACCCAGCATTTATAAGGGAAACACCGATGGAGAATCCAACGAGGGGCTGACACGTGGCAAGGAGCGTATTCCGGCCCACGCGCTGTGCGTGGGATGGGACGTAATGATGACACTTCCTCGGGAAGATGCGCCGCCGCAACATCAGCCGTCACCTCGTTTCCTGAACCGTCAACAGCTGTCAAGCACCATGGCCACGAGCGTACGTTTCCACCAAGATGCAATGAACACAAGTGCCAAGATACGGACGTCTACTTCGGGAAGGCTCATACTTCCTTATGTCCTGCGCATGCTCAGAACATCAGAAGTGGGGGACTTGTGTTGGGTTAAGGGCCCAAGCCGAGGTCCGGCCCACTAACCCATTCTGCCAGACGAGCGTCCGGCTAGAAACTAGGCCAGCCCACAGGCCCATATTCTTTAGGGGTGGACGAACGTCTGGTGTTGGAGGACTCCGGCCCAGCAGCTCATTCCGACGAACGTCTATGCAGGGACAAGGAGCAGAGCCACGGGCCACCAGGGATGGCGACGAACGTCCCCGGAGCAAGCATGTAGTCATCGGAGAAAACCCAGCGCACATGGTGAATATCTATCAAGGCCAGGAGACGGACGGCCAATATCCCTCAGGGGTCACTTGGAGCAATCCAACTCACTTCCCGGGTGGACGAACGTCCCCACTAATCCGGCGGGAAACCTAGATTCTGGCGGGAAGTGCATTTAATGCTGAAGATTTGGTAGTTGGGACACCAGCGGTCCACAGGCTGCCACGTCAGTACAGCCACCTGCCCATTGGCGGGTATAAATAGAAGCATTTATTTCATTGTAAAGGGTTGGCAACTTTCTATTCTTAGCATACTAGCTTCAGCATTCTTACTAGCAACATTTCTAAGTGCCTTGTAAGACGAACGGCCGACGTGCCCTTTTAGCAAGTAGATTGTACTTAGGGGAGTTATTACGGAGTTAATAATACCTATTTACATTGCCTGCTATTATTTTTGTCTCCTGATCCATCTGATAGTTGTTGGGCTAGACATTCATACACTCACTCCACTCGAAATCTTTGGGCTTACGTGTTGGGTCCAAGGGTTGAAGGAATAAACCTCAACACATTCTAATTGACTCTGGAAGCACTCACAACTTTATGGACACACAATAGGCACAGAAATTGGGATATAAAATAGAAAAGATGAAACCTCAGATGGTGACAGTAGCCAATGGAAGTCATCTAAACTGTCAAGAGATGTGTAGAGGATGCATTTGGTCAATGAAGCATCATCAATTCAAAACTGATGTTCTTCTTATACCATTAGGTGGGTGTGACATGGTATTGGGGTGCAATGGCTCTCTGAATTGGGCCCAGTTCAGTGGGATTTCAGAAACCTAACCATGAAATTTGAATGGCTTGGAAAGCAGACAATCCTTCAAGGTGTACCACTTTCTGAAATAAAAGCATTAAGTGACCAGAATTCTCAGAAGGTTATTAAGCAAGCTTCCCAGATATTCTGCCTACAATGGATACCAAAGGAAGAGGAAGTCAGTGGAATAGAATGCAGAGCAATAGAAGATTCAGAAAATCAACAACCAGAAGAATTACAGGAGTTGTTAAAACAGTTTCAGGAGGTGTTTGAAGAGCCTAAATCATTACCTCCTTCCAGGGGTATATTTGATCATAAAATTCCTTTAGAGCAAGGAGCAAATCCTGTGAACATCCGACCTTATAGATATTCTTTGAATCAGAGGGATATCATAGAAGGTTTGGTCAAGGAAATGTATGATCATGGTATCATTCGAAACAGCTCCAGCCCTTATGCTTCTCCGGTGGTGCTAATTGGCAAGAAAGATGGTACTTGGCGTTTATGTGTAGATTACAGGGAATTGAACAAGAAAACCATAAAGAATAAATTCCCTATACCCATCATAGACGAGCTTATTGATGAACTTGCTGGTTCTACAGTCTTCAGCAAATTAGACCTCAGGGCAGGTTATCATCAACTAAGAATGAATGAGGAAGATATTCATAAAACGGCATTTAAAACTCATGAGGGGCACTACGAGTTTTTAGTAATGTCCTTTGGTTTAACTAACGCCCCAGCTTCCTTTCAGAATTGGATGAACGCAGTATTCAAACCATTATTGAGAAAAGGTGTGTTAGTCTTTTTTGATGATATTTTGGTATACAGCAAAACAATGGAGGATCATTGGAGGCAATTACAGATGGTATTTCAGATCATGAAAGACAATCAGATGTATGCTAAAGTCTCCAAATGTGCATTTGTGATGAAGAGAGTTGAATATCTGGGCCATTTCATCTCAGGAGCAGGAATTGAAACTGATCCAAGAAAAGTGGATGCAGTAGCCAATTGGCCTACTCCTACATCAGTGAAGCAGTTGAGAAGTTTCTTGGGCCTAGCTGGATATTACAGGAAGTTTGTGAGGCTATATGGAGTAATCAGCAAGCCTTTAACAAATCTACTCAAAAAAGGGACATTTGTGTGGAATATTGAGGCTCAAATTGCTTTTGAAAAACTGAAGAAGGCTTTAATTTCAGCTCCAGTCCTAGCTTTGCCAGATTTTGGTAAAACATTTGTTATTGAAACTGATGCTTCAAATGAAGGAATTGGAGCAGTCTTGATGCAAGAGGATCACCCCTTAGCTTATATAAGCAGAGCACTAGGTACTAAGTGGCAAAAGCTCTCTGTATATGAAAAGGAACTATTAGTTATGGTGTTTGCGGTACAGAAATGGGAACAATATGTGAGTTTCCAACACTTTATTATAAAGACAGATCAAAAGAGTCTCAAATGGTTATTGGAGCAGAAAATTTCAACTCCATTTCAGCAGTTTTGGCTATCAAAACTTATGGGTTTTGATTATGAAATCCAGTATAAAAGTGGTAAGGAGAATGTAGTGGCTGATGCCTTATCAAGAATTCAGGGAATGGAACTATGTTGTATGGCTATTTCAGTGGTGGATTCAGATCTGGAACAACTTATTAAAGAAAGCTATGTTATGGATGATCAGTTAACAGCAATTATTCAAGGACTAAGCCAGAATCAGATCATAGAAAGGTATTCCTTTCAAAATGGAATCCTCAGAAGGAAAGGGAAGATTGTTATTGGAAACAATGCAACTTTGAGGAATAAGATTTTATATTGGCATCATACTTCAGGAGAAGCAGGCCATTCAGGAAGGGACGCAACATTAAGGAGAATTAAGACACTGTTTTATTGGAAGGGTCTTAATAAGGAAGTCAGCAAATACATTAGGGAATGTGTTATCTGTCAAGCAAATAAGAATGAGAATGTGGCCTATCCTGGACTTTTACAACCTTTACTAATTCCGGAAGAAGTTTGGGTTGATATATCTTTAGACTTTATAACTGGATTACCAAAATCTGCAGGTAAAGAAGTGATTTTGGTTGTTGTAGATAGGCTCAGTAAAGGAGCTCATTTTGTGGCTTTGGCACATCCTTTTACTGCAGTTGAAGTAGCTCAAGCCTACTTGGATAATATTTTTAAACTACATGGCTGGCCCAAGAGTATTGTGAGTGATAGAGATGCCATCTTCTTAAGTCAATTTTGGAAGGGATTGTTTTCTATCCAAGGGACTAAGTTCAATCTATCTTCTGCTTACCATCCACAGTCTGATGGTCAAACAGAAATAGTGAACAAATGTTTAGAGGCATATCTCAGATGTATGTGTGGTGAAAGACCTAAAGACTGGAGTTTATGGTTGCCATTAGCAGAGTGGTGGTTTAATACACACTTTCATTCATCAGCTGGTACTACTCCATATGAAATCATATATAATCAACCACCCCCTTTGAATCTGCCATATCTGCCTGGGGAGTCTAAGGTTGAAGCTGTGGATAGATCTATGCAAAGAAGGGAAGAAATGATTAAGAAGCTCAAGGACAATCTCAGCAAGGCTCAAACAAGGATGAAACAATTAGCTGATAGAGGAAGAAGTGAAAGAGAATTCTTCATTGGAGATTGGGTTTGGTTGAAATTACAGCATTACAAGCAACAATCTGTACAGACAAGAAGCAACCAGAAGTTAGCACCCAGATTTTTTGGACCCTTTCAAGTTAAAGAAGTTATTGGAAAAGTAGCATATAAACTCAATTTACCAGATGACTCTCAAATACATGATGTATTCCATGTATCACAACTGAAGAAGTTCAGGGGAGAACTACCTATGGCAGCTCATATTCCTGCCTGGTTCAGAGGTCAGGCTGCAGAAGTACTACCACAACCTGAAAGGATTCTGGACAGAAGAAGCATAAAATTTCAGAACAAGGTTCAAGTACAATTCTTAGTACAATGGAAAGGTTTTGCTGTGGAGGAGGCAACCTGGGAGTCAGCAGATGCTTTCAGAGCTCAATATCCTGACTTTGGAAGTAATGGAGCTATGGGTTGACTTGAGGGCAAGTCAATTTTTCTAAGGGAGGAGGAATGTAACGGTAGTTATATCTACCGTTAGATACTAATAGCTAGTTAGTTATAGAAGTAGTTATATCGTGGTTGATGTAACTGTATATACTAACTACTCTAAATGTATAAATAAAGGAGTACATCATCAATAAAGTTCAGTTGATTGCCATTTCTCATTTTACGCTTTTACTGCCTCTTGCGTTAACAATTGAGCTCAGCTCTTGTAACGACCTTCTTTCTTAACAGTTGAGCCAAGCTCCTGTTACATATTGGAATCTCTCCTCGCATGTCGTGATCAATCTTAGGCCCAACTGTTTTATTCAAAATCATTACCTTTGCTACTTTTTAGTTTTTTACCACAACGTAATACGGATTAATATTCCGTATAAGATACGATCAGACGACGTATCCTCAAAAAAAATTGAATTGTCGACTGGTCCAAAGGTTTTTTGGCAAAACTTCTTAAATCATGAGATTGAGTGTTACACTTATGCCATCAGACCACGGTTCGCAAATTGAAAACTTTTTAAATTCACACAATTTAAATAAAAATATTTACAATTTTAAAATGTGGGTATTGTGTTTTTTTATTCTCTAAAAATGTGTAATTATTATCTAGTGTAGAAAATATTATCATATTTAAAGTATGGTAAGCTAAAAACATTTTTTTGAATAGTTAACTAAACTCAATCCTAACTGTCATGTTTATATATGCATTCATTTTTTGAATTAAAAAAAAATTGTATTATATTTCTATTTAGGACAACTTCTTTTCTATAATTAACTAAACCAGTCTTACCTAGCTACCTTGTTTATGTTCCAATTCATTAAAAGTTTTCCGAATTATAAACATCAATAACTAATAGTCTACACGTCCTATTATTACATTTTCAAAAAAAAAGCCTCGTTTTATTACAGTTTTATGTTGAATTTTATGGTGTTAAAGCACATATTTTCCTTTCATGGGAGTCCTTAGTTAATTAATAATGCATTATTAAGGGCGTTTGTCAACAAAAGTCATTAGTTAATGTGTGGCTTTATTTATGCCACACATAAAAATTTAATGACGTCGGTATCTTGACATCATTACATTCAGTCATTCTTGATGGTTATTGCGACAGATAGACACCGCAAATTCACTGATCGATTACATCAGTTTGATAGAAAATGATAATAATACCTAAACCATACCGAGTATCAATTATTCTTCTCAAGAAACGTTCGAGATACGTAGTATAATTTAAGAGTATAACTGTATAAGGAGACATTTCTTGTAATACTACTAATACTAAATTTATACTTTAAAATGTGACTAAATTCATTGTGAATGTACGTAACAATACATGATGAACACTATAAAATTAAAACGCTGCCAATGTAATTACTATACGGAGTAAAAATTATTATAATACATATAAGGTTACATTTTTATCTAGTAATGTAGTGATGTTTGAAAGTATAATAATTACATGCACTACAATTCACCTCAACAAATTGAATTGCACCCTTAAAATTTTCCACCACAAATGATCATTAGTCAATAATTTCCATATTAGACTGATATAGCGGCAGGCCGGTGGTGGCCGACAAAAGAATTAACTATAACCGGGGAAAGCTATAATTTTAGACCGTGTTTTTTTCAGCAAGATGTATATACTCGGGTATAAGATATTTTGTAACAACTAGCAATTAAATGTAAGAGGCAAAATCGAATTAAAGCCAATTGAAAAGACCTTTTGAATTGAAATAACCGAACACAACTTGTATTTTATAAGCCAAATGGTGTTGACCCACATAACATTAGTTTTGGGTCGTTTGTCCACAAAAATTCTAAAGTTTAAAGACATATATACCTAATATATACTACCATGTTCTTAAATAAATGCAACATGTTGATTTTTACACTATTCACATGTTTTACTTTGACTACGTTTTATTTATTAATGTATTAATATTTTTTTATGAAAAAAATATTGTTAAATTTGTCTCATTGTAAATTTTTAAAATCTAATTTTGTTAATTTTTTTACTAATACAGAATTAAATATATTAATGATCAAAGTTGTGTCTCGACGAATGTGAAATGTTGAGGGGTACGTTTATTTTTTCGTACATACCCTTTTTCCCCAACTAAAAACAGCCATGATCGATGAGCTAGCTAGCTAGGTTCCAAATCTAAAACTTTTGTCAAAGCTAGCTAGATTACTGCCTAAGCAAGCTAAGAGAGGAGTTAATTGCTCGCCTAAACCTAGCTAGCCGACAGGAGGGTTTCTTCGTAAAGTTAAGGTTAGAGATCGAATATGATTCCGACCATTAACTTGGGTAGATTTGATTTCTAACGACAAATAAATGGGTACGTAGGTATTTGGTCAAAGTCTTCTTTACACACAGTGCACAATGACCCAACACCGTCCTGCTCGGGCACGCCATTTCATAATAGTACTCCCTAGAAATATCAACATATACACACCCGATATACGTTGTCGAATTTTATTCTTATAACGGGAAATATAATCAATCACATAATATATTTTTAGGTAAGATAATTTCGGGATGGGAAAATGAAAATCTATGAACGATTAGGTCTTTAATTAGTCCGACATGGGTTATCTTCACACAATTAGGAGTATTCTCTTGTTTTTTGAGGTAAAAAAAACAACTAACCCAATCCTAACAGAAAAGTAAGCAGATACTCCGTACTTCAATTCGTACTACGTAATTCTTATGTTATGAATGCATAAACATATTTTCGATTTTTCATTAACACAAATAAGAGTCTAAGTTGATAAATTATCACTCCGTAGTAAACAGTTACCATATTATGTATTGCACGAAATATATTTCGTAGTAGAAATAAAGGGAGTGAATGAATAAAATTATGACTTTTAATATAGTACTTCACTACTTCGTATATTATAGTAGAATGCATCAATACATCATGACTACATTCCATTTTAATTTAAACTTGAGTGGTCATGAACTCATGACGGTATAATGGATATTCCACTCCGTATTATAGAAAATGAAAATAATACCATCCTTCCTTCTTTAATTCTTGCAACAGTTTGACTTTCACGTTTGTCAACACACAACTTTAACTGTGATTATATTTAATTATGTATTAGTAAACATTATAAAAAGTTGATATTTTGAAAATTCACATTGATTATGTATATTAATAGAAAATCGTGGTCAAAGTAAAGTTTGTGAACATTGCAAAAATCACAATGTTGCAAGAATTAAAGAACAGAGGAAGTATAATATATTTAATTCTATGGATGCAACTTTTACAGAAAACAACATTTGTACGTATAGCAGGAGTAAAAAATGAGTGAAGTGTATGAATAGAAACAGTCATATTTTATCCTAAAATAAGACCTATTTATTCATCCTAATAAAAGAATCATAGTAATATAAATGTTCATTATTGAAATATTTAAATAATGTCCTCTTTTATTAAAAAAGTAAAAATAGAAGTATAACATGAAAAATTCAATGATATGTTTGGAATACAATATATTGAATCCTTTTTTAGTACTACCTCCATCCCTTTTTATTTAGCCAACTTGGAAATTTCTAGTCAAAGATGATAAACTTTGATCCATTATTTTAACTAATATGTTTATGTAAAAGTTAATAAATTTATACTTTTATGATAATAGTTTTAACAAAGAACAATTTCATATAATTTTCATATTATCAATATTACCGGGTATAAAAATAGTGTTTGGTTAAATAAAAAGGGACGGATGGAGTATAATATATTGAATCCAATTCAAAGACAAAAAAATGAAATTATTAACGTAAGAGTACTAACTAATGTTATTCTTTCTATAAAAAAAGTACTCCGTATTGTTATTCTTAACTCTCGTGTCATAAAAGTGTGAATTACTTGCGGAATATTCACACATAAAAAAAGTCAATTAATTACCCAGTAAGCGGCGGTTAAACCGGCAATGCCGGAAGAGAGGTGGATGACGTAACCGCCGGAATAGTCCATGACTCCCCACTGGAACAGAAAGCCGCCGCCCCAGAGACTGAAAGCCCCCACCGTATAGGAGAAGGTCAGCCACAGCGGCACGAAAACCATCCACGCCATGAAGTTCATTCGCCCCAGCAGCGACCCCGCCAGGAGTATCAGCGTGATCGCCGCAAATACGCACTGGAACCACACCTTTTTCAATCATACACATGAAAAAAGAGTATTATTAAATCAAACCCGACCGGGTCAAAGAATATTTTGACACAATTTTCAGATTCAGAGTCAACCGGGCTAGTCCTGCTAGCTCGGCGACTCTATCATTACGCCCCGCTCCCGAAGAGAGAAGTTAAATTACTCAATTACCATGGAAGCCATGGGGTAGAGAGGAGTAGACTCGGCGGTCTCGACGGCGCCGTTGCTGAAGTAGTGGACGGTGGCGGGGAGCGCCGCCTGCATGAGGAGGAACTTCTGGCCGAGAGCGGGCCCGGCTTTTCCCCAGAAAGGGAGGAGCTTCTCGCCGAAGGACATCTTGTAGGCCCAGGTGACCCAGCAAATGATGACGGCGGCGAAGGCATAGAGGGCCATGAAGGCGGAGTTGACGGCCCATTTCTTCTTCACGACGCTGCCGTAGAGGATGACGAGGCCCGGAACGCTCTGGAGGCCGACCAAGGTGGCGGCGATCATCTGCCATGCGTTGTCTCCTTTGTTCAGCCAGTCCGGTGCCGTCGACGTGTTGTTCTGGTACGCCAGGGGCACCACCGCCGCCGCCATGATTTTTATACGTATGTAGTAGTTAATTAAGTACGTAGTATAGTATATGCTGTTTTTTTTTAATTCATTGGTGGACTTTCTTTATTTATATGCGTAGTTTTAGTAAGTTAGTAAGTTGCCCTATCAAAGGGAATTGTTGAATTTTTTTCAAAAGTGAAATGGTTCATGCTTGAATAGTTCGAATACGCGGACCATATGGACTGTGGTCACGAATACGGAGTATAAGCAAAGAATCCAATATGATTATGGTCAAATTGACGGAATCTATTAAATACCCCTCCATCCATTAATTAAGTCCATATTCAACATTTGAAAAAATATTTATTAATGTATTAAATAAATGCAACATATGAAATTTTACATTACTCACATGTTTCACTTTGACTACGTTTTATTTATTAATGTATTAATATTATTTTATGAAAAAATATTTTTAAATTTGTCTCATTGTAAATTTTCAAAATTTATTTTTTTAAATTTTTTTACTAATACAAAATTATATATATTTATGGTCAAACTTGTGTCTCCGCAAGTGTGTAATGTTGATCGTTGCATTTATTTAAGAACGGAGGAAGTATTAAAGTATAATTATTGATATGTAAAAATATACATTTATAACATTAATAATAATCAAACATTTCAATACTATAAATTAGAGTGAAGGATTTAATATAGTTTTATTATTATAAAATAAAAGGGAAATTTACCGGAATATGACTAAAACTCAATGAGTTTCTCAATCTATGGCCTAACTAGTTTTTATACCTTTGTATGACCAAAATTCCAAAAACAAATAGAAAATTCGTTTATATATAAATGTTGAATGACAAAAATACCCTTATTTAAAATATGTGCATTTTGCACTAATTTCGTCCAATTAGAATTACTGCATTTTATATTGCAGTTAATGCGCAAAATTAATGCATGACTTTACTGCACATCCGGTAATAATCACTGCACTTCCCCTAAAATTAATTCTCTTTTTATTCAATTGAGGATTTTTAAAAAAAATTAATAAAATTTTATTATTTTACGTCTAATTAAGTACATTGCATTTCATGATGATATCACTGCTTTGTGTTACTGCAATACTGGTCATAATCACTTCACAACAAACTTCCTTAATGCATTCATTTATTGCCATGTACAACATATATATTGCTATATTAAGTGTCATACTCAACGCTTTCATATTATCTATCAATGTTCAATGCTCATATTTAATGCTCACAAACCCTAAAATGACTCACCATACTCAACAATATTTATTATCATATTTAATGTCCATATGCACTGCACATTTTTAATGCCTACAAACTTTAATTTTCTAAAGCCAAAAATAAAATCCAAAAATCATCTAAAATTGGCCCACGTAAGAAATACTAACTTTTGAAACAAAGTCGCTCAGTTTGGAATTGAGAAAATGAATTATTGAAGGAGACCTGAAAACAAGAAAAATTGATTCACTTAGGAGCCAATTTTATTAATATAGATAATATAGAGTATAAGATATAATATTATGCACCCTAAATCAAAAAGTGGCTCCTACTACCTCTGCTAGCGCGTCTACATGACTACATCAGGAAGGGAAGAGCCTAAATCGACCCCTACTCTTCTTTTAAACTAAGTTTTCACAATTGAAGATGGATAGATGTCGTGCTTTCAAGTGCGGCGGCGATGAGAATGGAGGACTTCGAAGAAGTAGAGGAAGCTCTGGGACGATCTGCGCGCCTCGTTTTCTAGATCTGGACGGCGGCACACGGATCTGCACGGCTCGTTTGGCATGCCTTGGGACGGCGACTTTGCCAGGCCGGAGTTCTGGATCAGTGACTTTGCTGGTTCAGTGGTGGGTTTCTCTGACCGGAGTTCTCTGGAAGGAGGCGGCGCTGGACAGTGGGAGGCGGTCAGACGGCTGGGCGGCTGCGTGGTTGGACGTAGGAGATTGTGGCTAGGGTTGATGAAAATGGGAAGGAGGTTATGGTTTTATAGATATAACAGAAAGGGTATATTTGTCCATAAAAATTATTTATTATTTATTAATTACGAATTTTAATTAAATATTGTGAATATTAGTATTATTTTGGGGAAAAAACTAGTTAGGTCATAGATTGGTAAACTCATCGAGTTTTAGTCATATCTGGGATAATTATCTCAAAATAAAACGGTTTTTGATCAATTAATGGTTAACATTAACAAAGATCGACTAAAAAATCAAATTTTAAACTTAAATGTGGAACAGATATATGGAGTATATGCTTGAAATTGAAAATGATATAGGGCCGTGAAAAACTAAAATGTTCCAATTATTAATTAGCAAAAGTCCTTCCGATCGTACCATATCCATTGTAATTATTATATATAAGAACATCTCCAATGATATTTCATTGCAATTTTTAAAAATGGTGAAGCTACTACCTTATTAACTTATTATCATTTGAGTGCATCTTTCTTAATAGTTTGAACAAGCAAATTGACTACTTATTAGAAGGGGTGAAAAATTGAACTAAAATGATTTTACCAAATATATTAAATTCATTGGGAAAAGGTACAAATATGCCCCTGTAGTATGGGTGTGGGAACAGATATATCCCTGTTCTATTTTTCGGAACAAATATACCCCTAAACTTTTAAAAAGGTGCAAAAATATCCTTCATGTTCTTATAAAGGGACAAATTAATCTTTATTGACTTTAAATTAATAAAATAAATTTCAAAAAACACCAATTATAAATTTGAAATTTAAAAACAAAAAATTTTAAAAATGTAATAGTGTCTAATTCTCCCTTTTATAGTTTTTATATCACAATTTAATATTGTTTAAGAATGAAATATTATTTCAAAATTTTACTATATGTTTAAGATTCTTTCGAAAAGGTGCAACATATTTTTTGCAATGTAGAGAAAAATTAATTTTTTTCATTTTTTGCACTATAAAATTACATATTTTGAAATAATATTTTATACTTAAAATATTAAATTGTGATATAAAAAAATAAAGGGAGAAATGGACACAATTACATTTTTAAAATTTTTATTTTTAAATTTTGATTTATTAATTTATTTTTGGTCTTTTTTGAAATTTATTTGATTAATTTAAAGTCAATAAGGATTAATTTGCTCCTTTATAAAAAAAAATTAGGGATATTTTTGCACCTTTTTCAAAGTTCAGGGGTATATTTGTTCCAAAAAATAGAACAGGGGTATATTTGTTTCTCCACCTATACTACATGAGTATATATGTACCTTTTTCCTAATTCATTAGGTAATTGAAAGTATATTAAACTAATTAAATATTTTTAAAGATATGCATTTTCCCATTATTCCCGTTATAATCTTAATAACATTGATTATTTATAGGTTTAAAATATCATTGACAATTTCATTCAATTTAAAAGTACTTCAAAATAACTATTATTTTTATTGTATTAAAAATCAATTCATTAAAATTTTATACTTTCAAAAGTTGGTTGATTTGTGGGGCGTAATGATCGAAGAGCAAACATTATAGCTGACCATTTGAGTGTCACATTACTGTAAAATGAGTTAGGCGGAAATAGTTGACGTGTCAAGCAAAACTACAATATATATAGCTAATCATTGTAGATGCTCTAAAGAGCATCTTTAGTGGTAATATGGATTGGCTAAAAATGCATTGTCACATCATATTGAGTTAAAATTACCCTCTCCAATGCAAATATGTATATTGGTTGTTGGTGCTGAGTTGGATTGGAAAAGCGGAGGACTGTCAACTAATAAGATTATTTTTATATTTGTCACGCCCCAGACCGCAATCTAAGCGCGTGTACAACAACCGTATGATCAAGTGACGTCACCCGCAAGTCCACCTCACTTAATCACACAAGGCGCTCGATAAAATAATTCATCCATACTCAGTAGTAAACATACATAACAACTTCACATTTAAACCAATAAATAGCGGAAATATTCAACGGTAATTCATAAGCCACATTCGGCCGACAACATGGGCATGCAAGCCCAAAAGTAGTTTATAATAAATAAAAATATCCATGAGCAATGTTTGGTAGTTTGAAAGAAATAAGGAAGCACGAATCACGTCTTCCTGGATTTGATACCACCCGTAGAAAGGTGCAAGTAACAAGCCCTAGCTTTAACTTGAAAATGGTGGGGGCCCTAAGGAGTCAGTACAAGTGTTGAGCGAGTAACAGGCTAAATATAGAATAACTAGTGTTTCAAGTATAAGACCCAAACTGGGGTGATACTTATATAAATAGTCTTTTTCCCCCAAATTAAGAAATACTTATTAGTATATATACACTTGGAAAATACCCGATCCGTAGATCACCGTTTTGTTTGGGAAAATAGCAATAGTCAATATGCTTGACTAAAAACCCCAACCCACCCATATACTATAAGTGTATAGGACTCCTCCTTGTCTATATTTCATTATCAAAATCTATGAGTTTTGAGGATAACATAATCCTTGGGTACTCCACCAATTCATAATCCGAGTGTTAAGGACCTTTAGTCCTAGGGTCATCCACCAATTCATAATCCGAGTGTTAAGGACTTTTAGTCCTAGGGTCCTCCACCAATTCATAATCCGGGTGTTAAGGACTTTTAGTCCTACGGTCCTCCACCAATTCATAATCCGAGTGTTAATTAAGGACTTTTAGTCCTAGGGTCCTCCCCCGTTATACATATGAGTTTTCAGGACTCTTTAGTCCTTGGGTCCTCCACCATTAATATTCTTATGATCAACCTCATATCCACCTAGATAGAGTATCATATTTATTTATTCATAGCTAAATCAATCCATAAAACTTATGTATCTCAATCCATGAAAAGCCATGCACTTATATAAATTTACAATTAACTAATTGATTAATCCATTATCAATCGGTCAACGTTTTCGTTGACCGTCATTTCAAGCCTTATATGTATCAACTTAGTAACCATATATATATATTAAGTTAATAATATCCATTCTATGCTTCTTTTACCTTTCAAACATAGCATGCAATTTCATAGAAATTCTCATATCATATTCCATGCATATTCAAGTAATTCATTTCATACAAGCCTAATCATTTTGGCTAATTACACGTTTAAATATTCTTTAAACATCATT